CCGTCACGCCGCTCCGGCACAGCCGCAGGGCACCTCCTCTCCCAGGCGGGACCGTGGCCTCCGGGATCCTCCGGGAGTAAAGCAAATCTTGCAGAGACCCTTGACGGACCTCGGTCACCTCCCGGGAGGAGCGGGAGCACCGCTGGGGGATACTGCTGCAACTTGCTTTGCTGTTTAACTTCCTTTTCCCAAATCAGAAGTGGCCAAAGCAATGAGATGGCGAATTCAGCACAGGAGTTTGTTTTTTTATCATGGAAGGTACAAGCCAGGCAAGGAAGAACATCCCCTCGCTGTGGCTACATTCGCTTTTAGTGGCTTTCAGAGCCGAATCTGAGAATTCCTCTCTTTATATCCAGTCTCTCTTAATACAATTTTAATATTCTGGTTGATCCTAAAGATGCAACGTTAACTATAGAAACAGCAGCAGAAAAGCGTGGGGTACAAGACATTTTTTTTATACAAAAAAAAATTCTTTTCGTTGCTTACAAAACATATGCAAAATAAGCTAAAAAAACCAAAAGGCATTGCTATTTGTTCTACATAAAAAATCTCATAACTAATGTTCTTTTTTTTTAAAAAAGAAATATCAAGCTTAGGCACAATTTTGCTGCTGGCTGCTTGTGAACAAGCCAAGAGAACACGCCACCCCCTCCTAACTGAGTGATATGTATTGACTGTTCCGCACTTTATACTTAAGGCAATTTTTTTTGTTTTCGTTTTGTTTTTGAAAAAGTGTTTTTTTCCACCCCTTACGTCATGCCAGGATCCATCCACGTGTGTCAGTATTAGCAGTACTAAAGTTTATGGTTCGAGAAGGTCGCAGGTCACACCAAGGGTTTTCTTCCTACAGATCTCTCTATCCAGAGGAACAAAAAGATCTACAAACAAAAAAACCAAAAGCCTGAAGTGAGAGAAAGCCAAATGAGAAGAATAAAATCCTGCTCCTTGCATGGGGGGGCCACATGCTCCCCTGCCACGGCCTTGTCTCCGCAGGAGAAGCCAGCCCCGAGGGCTCGACGTGGCTGCGGCGGG